GATCATTGTGAGGACTGAGGCATGTTGGTGGATAAAAATTGTTACATGCAGATTCATATAAAGAATTAATTACAAGGTTTTATTTGTCAAACTCTCAATTCTCTCTTTTTTCTTTTTCCATTTTTTCCGGGTGAAAACATATAAAAAAGACTAATTAAATAATTCCACTTTCAACTTTAAACCTAACTTGTTTTAATACTTAATTTCTTGAACTTTCACACATACATAAGGACTTCTAGAAGCTTATATATCTATAACTCATAAAAAAACAGTTCAGTACACAAAACATCTCATGTTAACAGAGTCGTCAGAAAGACCTAATTTCAAGAGATATGACATAGACAATCTATCCTAATGTAATATTAATGATTGTTTTCACAACTCAAACCCGTACTATACAATCTATGTATATGTACATTTCGAAGCTTAGCTTTTCAAATGGAATATGTTAAAATATGGTAGTGTCCCCCTTTTTTTACTTTCTTTCTGTCACCATGGAGTTTATCAATTTTCTGGACGTTAAGTTAGGCAACTTTTAACCAAACTAATTTTAATTCTAAACAATTTGAGGTAGGCTGTATGAATCTTTCACCTATCATATTACTTCATATAAACTTATCTCAAGCAAATTTTATGCAAAATAAAATACTAAAAAATCATTATATATCTATTGATATATAAATCTCTGAAAGACTAAACATCTCCTAAAAAAATAGTAATATGACAAAATAAAAATGCTAACATGACTAACCAGTCCAGTTACCGAGAATCCCCGAGGGTCAATGGCGCACAGTTAAAAACTAAGTGGATAGTGACTCCTCGTCCTATCCTTCTCTACTTAAATATCAGTATGTTGTTTGCAACAAAGTTCAAAACTCGAGATGTGCCTATCCCATACATCATGCATTGTACTCTTAAGCAAGAGCAGTACAATTGCCGAGTCTTAATCGAATAATCAATCACAAAAAGTGCAGTAACTGAATAACAAAGCACAAAAAAACAGGATTTTGATTTTAAGTCTTGAGTTCATCCTTTCAGTTAAGGTGGATTCCTTTCCTGCCTTATTCAGTTACTCAATGAAAACATTACCATTCGTCGTCTGAGCAAAGTTTAACTATTTCTAGAGCTCAGCACAACGTTTACTAGTTAAGTAATTCATATAACTGTTGAGAAATGAAAGAGAACCAGATATCATGGCCAATGCGGCATTCTGTGCTGGCCTTGAGCATTGACTGGTGATCGTATAAACGTGTTTGCTTAAATGGTTGTTCAACACCTTATATATGCATCCATCATCATAATGATCTTAGCTCCAATGCCCTTAATCCTCTTCATCTACTGGAGTATACCACGATGGTATGTGCTCTGAATTGCTCAGTCTGTAGTTCAGTAGAACCTCTTCATCACAAATTGCTCTAGTAGCCACAAGAACAAGTGTCTTCAGAACGGGGACTTTTGATTCATTGTTGTTGGACTTCCACGTTTTCAACCTAAAGCTGCCAAATTTACTCGTGTCTGTTTCTTCACCGTTTCCAAATGAAACATTAGGTATATAGGGTCTCATGTCCTTCTCAAGGAGGGGAAAATTATAAGGGTATATCATTACATTGGGGAACATGCCTTTGGTTGGGTGGTTGGCGAAATGAGCAAAGGCTAGAGGGTTTCTCCTTTCCAACACTTCAAGGTTGCCTCCAACGTGTGTTCCATCTAGGTCAGAACCTTTCTCATCAGCTTGCATAGTGTGCTTAGGTTCAGGAGAACTGGTCCAATCCCATATTTCACGAGATTCACCACCAGCACCCCAGGGCTGGGCATTGATCATAGTCCCATCATACCGTGTGATCAGATGTGAATTTTGGGCATCAACTCTAGGGTACCCAAGAATGTAGCGGTAATATGCTGGAGGGTAGACTACTCCAGGATAGAATGCTATGACAGAACCAATATTGGCTTCACCTTGTAAGAATAAACCCTTTCCAGCATCCTCATGGGGAATTTGAGATGGTTTGACCTCGAGAGTGTAGCCCATAAGATCCTTTAACCTCTGTGAAACCTCTGTGCGGTGCAATGTCTTGGTTTCAGGTACAGCTGTGCTGAAATTTTTATCAGAAATTAAAAACCAGGGTGATGCAGCTATGAAGCCACTGCAAAGAACAGATGAAATACAATCTATGCAAAACCAACCACCAAAGAGCCTCATGATCCGTGATTTTATGTTATTGCCTATGTTGCAAAAGATTAAATATTTACACCACTAGAAATGTCCATCAACTTCATTATAGATATCATGTTTTATACTGAATGAACTGAAGGAAATATAATATTGACAATTCACCCTCCCAATGAAGAAGTTGAAGTAACATTCCAATTGGAATAACTACACTCCGTTCCTTTAGCAGTTTACCTCCAGACTCAGTAATCGTATTTTTAGTGTCTTACGCTGAGAGTTGGATTTGATCTACTTAATCCATGTGCAGATGTGCTTTAAGATGAGGTACACCCCCCCCCCCCCACTACCACCACCACCCCCCCCCCACCACTACCACCACCACGCCCCACCCCATCCCCACCTTGTCTTTGTGTAAAGAAGTGCAAATCCATCTTACCAATCAAAAGATTCTAGGAACTTCATCAATTTCTACATAAATTCAGTAATACTAGACTTCAGAAATTTCAAGTGATACAGTAATTACCGGCTACAAGAGGCAGGAATAACTACTTCCATTGTCTACCTGTATAACGAAAACATTTTCAACACTGGTTTAAGGCTTACTGTGTTTAATATAAAAATGAAGTAGTGGTCTTAACGATAATACTAGATGTATACCGGAGAGATACAGCCAAATAATTGTAAGGACAGCATGACGCAAGGTAAAGCAATGTCATGGCAGAGCAGAAGCAGGAAATCAAATGGTTACCAACAATGAAGTAGGGTGCAAGTCAAAATTCAAAACAAAGTTTTTCACAATATAACAACTAAGAAGTCCTTTTCAGAAAAAAATACAACAACAACAAAGAAGTACATGGAAAATTTAGCTTAAGATGCAGCTCATTCTTACCAATGCGGTCTTGTGCTAGAGAATTCCCACCAACAGCAAGACCAAGGCCACTACTACGAGGAGGAGAATGTGGTGTTGCTGGTGACGTGGCCTGATTGTCTTTGACCTTTTGATCCAGGAGTAATATCTCATCCATATAGCTGCAAAAGTTTGTAACCTGAGAATGCACATTCTCATGAACTTGCTTCTGTTGATCGTCTAAGGAGGCTTTGTTAGCCATATCAATAATCTCCTCTGCATCAGCTTCTTCGGCATTCCTTCCTAAACGGTTGTAACTGAAAGTAAAGTTTATCAGGGCAACATTAAACTACAGTGGTGCATCTATTCAAAAAGATAACACATAATTTCGCCACCAAAGCCGCAATTTTTAAGGCATAAAAATATTAGTTACTTCTACTATTTATCAAACTGAGCGCCTCGGTTCAGTGGTAAAGGAATTTCAAAATGAGTCCCTCTGTTGGTTCAATTCCCCACTAAAGCATATTTCTGTACTTTCTTTTCATACTATTTTGATATGTTTTACTTGATAGACCCTATACCCACCACCCTCCCCAGACCCCACTTGTGGGATTATACTGGGTATGGTGTTTTGTTGTTGTTGTTCTACTATTTATCAACGAGGGCAAGAAAATAAAGAAACTATCTCTCTCAATGCTACCACAGTTCCCGCTGAAGCAGTACGCCTCTAAAGAAGAAACTGAAAGGAAAATGTGGAATAAGGACTGTTACCACGGTCCCCAAGCAAATCCCTAGTTATGAAAAATAACTTAATGCAATCAGAGGGATATGTTACAACTTCAGCCCACTGAGAACATGACGCTTGACAAGAGGGTGTGGAGATCGAGGATTAGGGTAGAAGGTTAGTTAGAAGTCATTCCCTTTTCCCAGAGTTTTATTCGTTTGTTTCCCATATTTTTAGATTTCTATAACTACTTGTTATTTCGCCTCGATATGGTGATAATCTTATTGTTCTTTTCTTTCTGTTTATTGCTATTGCCTCTTTATGACTGTCTGTTCAGCTGATGCTCTTTTGGAAACCTCTCTACCTTCTCAAAGGTAGGGGTAAGGTGTGTGTACACTCTACCCTCCTCAGACCCCACATGTGGGATAACACTGAATTTGTTGTTGTTGTTTTAACTTAAAAGCAAACAGAAATTCACAAATATCAAACAAGTTCTTCATTCCCCCTTTGATAAAGACACAAAAAGTTCTTTCTAGATCTATCAGCAATGAAGAAACCCGAATTTCACACTACATTATACTTCAATTGTTCTTACTATAATTGAAGCAAACTGAGAAAATGTTGAATAAAACAATATAATTACAATGACAATATAAAACAGCTACCCATAAAATTAATTTCAATTTGTACATCACCTCTTACCTGGTGTAAAGGAATAGTAGATTTATGTCAGCTTCGAACTGAAGAAGCCTCGATTCTCTAGCAAAAGTGGGGCTTTTAGCAAGAATTTTCACTCCCTGCAAGTCGTGTGTCAATTCAAAAAATCAACTTTACATAATTAACAGTGTCAATTCAACAAACAACTGCAAACCCACATTACAAATGACTTCAAGAACTTAATGAAGAAAAAATTAGAACAAAATGTACAGTTTGATTGGTGAACAAGTTATCATGAAATTAATTATCCCTTTATCGCTCGTACCAAATAAGCAGTTTAAAGGGTGCAAGGTGAAATAGAGAACCTCTTGAAATTTGTGGAAGAGGAAAGCCATGGCTCGATCGTTGCCTGCTGATCTACTTGACTGCTGCTACACTAATTTCAAAGAGAAAATGGCAAAAATGGTCACTTTATGTTTATAGTAAGTTCAATGTAGTCCCTTAAATATATATACCGTACAGTTTTGGTCACTTATGTTTGTAGTAAGTTCAATGTAGTCCCTTAAATAAAATAAAAAAGGGCTTTTTATAAGGAAACTTTACTCCCAATTTGTAAATCTGTCTTCAATTGATTAGTAATTTGTTAGCCGGAAGCAATGGTGATGACAAACTTCACTGGAACCGGTATCGGTTTTGGTATGCATAAATTTTCAGTACTTTACTTCTTCTCTTTTAATAAGAACAAAAGCTTTTTTTTTTCCTCTCTTTTTTACTTGCTTTCATGTACTGATGCAAAAAAATTGAAATTGTGTTTAGGTGCTGGCATTGGTTGCGGATTCGGTGTAGGATGGGGTTTCGGAGGTTTGATTCCTTCATTTTCAAGCTTTTTTGGGTTCTAAAATATCTTTTTAGGTCTGTTTTATTTTTTTTTGCATAAAAAATAACATTTTTTCACTTATTACTAACCAAAGGGTCTAGCTTGGAGCAGGAGAATGTGAATTGTAATTAGGAGTTTAGTGGGGTTGAGCAGATTATTTTTTTTGTATGTTGTATAGTGATTAGTGATATTACTGTTATTCTTTGGGAATTCTTGTTCTGAATTTGGTTTAGTGACTTCTTATACTTATTAGTGAGACACTGCTAATTTGCTTGTCCTAGTATCTTTTCAGTATTAGTTCAGAAGAAAAGTTTTCATCTTTATTGAGTCTTCGATTACGTGCTTATGAATTGGGTGACATGGTTTACAAGATTCGTCAGCCATGAAATATGGTATTGCAGAAAGCATTGTACTTAATACGTATTCTTTAGCACCAGCTTGGTTGATTATGAACTAGATTGAAATGAACTATACATGAAAAAATATGATTAGTTTGTCATGTATCCAAGTGCACAATTTCTCTAGAGTTTACAGTGCTGAAGCATTTGGTAGAATCTCATACATATAGAGTCCAGATGTCAGCAGGTCGTGAACATATATTCAAGAAAATCTATAGAACACTATTTCATAATGTAGAATGCAGTCATTGTTGCTGGAAATACATCAAAGATTTTTTAGAATGTGGTCATTGTTGCTGGCACCTCCATTTTATCTCAAAGTTGTTCAGCGACAGAACAGTGCAGAATGAGGTGGCTGCTGTCTTAACCTCTTTTAAGAGGAATACTAAAAGGGAAGATCAGTACTTTTTGACATCTGCTTGGAAGGGGACATGTTAAAGCATGTATTCTCATGGAGAGGATTGTTTTATGATACTAGCTATATTAAACGTGCATAGAGGAAGTTAGAAAATTTATAAACTTGCCTATTGAAGGCAGTGATAGCGTAAGGAGTAAGTGGACCTGAGAAGACTTTTGAAGCATGTTTTTGGTAAACTATGCCAACTTAGAAACTGCTACTCTTTCAGTTACTGATATTAAAGCTAGGAAAATGGCATCTAGACAAGCCTCTGCGCTAAGCCTCCAAGACATGTGATCTCAAGTGTCCCTTGCAGTAGATGATCCCCACCCTCCCTTGCTTTCTATGGAACTTAAGTGCATGGACAGATGTAGAATCAAATATATGGAGTGTGTATCAGTTTGTCGGCCAAGATGTTCCTTATCTATTATTAATTAGCTCCCTGCAAAGAGTAGATTTGGGAGGGAATCCTTTCCAGAGATACCAAAGTGTCACTGTTGGTCTCGGTCTAGAGCATGGAAGGCTAGTAGTCGGCATGTTCGGAAGCAATTTGTAGGGGCAACCTTAGTTTTTCCATGTTGGCTGCGTTCTGGATTCTTAAACACCTACCTTGGTTGATTTTTGATGAAGTATTCCTACCTTGGTTGTTGATGACTTCCTATAAATGGAGGAAATCTTTAATGTTCTATACGTCTCTAGGCATCACTCATCAGTGTTATTAAAAGTCACCGCTTCATTTCTTAGAGTGAAGTAAGGGGTAACCGCTTCATGGGTGAAACCATGCGCTTCAAAGAAGTGTTCTTTCAAACAATGACACGTAAAATGATCCAAAAGAAAGGGGATGTTCTTTGAAGCTCAACTTTAGGAGTTGGAAATGTTGGCACTATTGTATCTTGGATTCTGAAATTAATTGTCAGTTGCAATTTGATTATTATAGTACTAAATTCAAGTACTTTTGGTCTTTTATTTAGTTTTCCATAAAATGTTTGCTTCACTTCTCGCTTTTTCCTTCGAGCCCTATAAACCTTGTCAGTTGTTAGCCCTAAAAAACTGTTATGCATGTTAGTTCTTCACTAGAATCTTTGTCTGATGAAAATCCTCCTTTAACATCTCTGTATTCACATTTCTCTGTTTATTTCCTTGTTCCCTTTGTCTGATTGTTGACATGGAAAATGTTAAAAGTATCATATACTACTATCTTTATATTATGAAATTGATTATCCTCATGCTTCTAAAGAAACGAAGGAGATTATCCCTTATGTTTTGCGTAGGTGAGGAAAGCTGTAGTGTTTATCTAAGGGTTGGGACATATCTCTGTCCAAACATCTGAGCACAACCCCCACCCCCCCAATTCTTTTCCTCAAGAGAAAGATGAAAAGGATATGCACTGTGCATTCACTTATTCTCAAAAAAAATCTTATCTGCTTACTCTTGTCGTAATTTTTTTCTTCACATTTGTTACAAGTTTCTTTTTGCAAAATACTCTCTCTAATAGTATCATCTAACCTAATGTGTAATCTTGTTTTTTCTCTCTAATAGTATCATCTAACCTAATGTGTAATCTTGTTTTTTCCAGGCATGCCTTTGAATTTCTTGGGTCTTGGTGTAGGTAAAAACTGAATATAAGCCATGTTTTCATGAAATTATATCTGTGGTCCAATTTTTTTGATGCTATGTTTCACAATTACTATTTATAGGTGGCGGCTGTGGGATTGGAGTAGGCCTCGGATGGGGATTTGGCTCTGCCTTTGGTAGCCAGTACAGGAACTCTAGAGTTACATTTGACGGCACAGATTTTATCAATAAGGAGCATAGTGAAGAAAGAGATTCAAAAGATCTAGCCAAAGGCACTCGAAAAGCTCATTCTTCTCAGTAAATATACACATCTTCTGTTGATGCACTGATATTCTCACTTCAAAATTTGTCAAAGTTGTACAACTAGTTCCATTTCAGCCATCACTTGGAAACGTATGTAGATCATTTGACAGCACTCACTTCTTTGATGTGTAAAATCTGTTTCCTTATGATGCTTGAAAAAATATGTACTTGAAGCTTTAGCTTGATATTGAAACTAGAATGGGACTGAGGAGAGAAGAACATAATTCTATCACAATACACTGATAATGTAAAAGGTGAAGGCAAAGCTTGGAGCAACGGTAAAATTGTTTCTGTGTGACCAATAGGTCACGGGGAAGCAGTCACTAATGCTTGCATTAGGATAGGTTGTAGGCTCTCTACATCACACCCTTGGAGTGTGGCTCGTTACCGAACCTTATGTGAACGTGGGATGCTTTGTGCATTAGGTTGCCCTTTCTTTAAAAGTTCATTTGCACTATTAATGTGTGAACGTAAATCATTTCAGCAATTAGGTCATTTTGTACTGCTTTTAATTATTTTTTAACCTTATTACTCTTAATGAAAATCAATATAAGGAATTTTAAGACACCCCACCAACTCATCTCAATTTGTGGAGGAGAAAAATCTGTTGGACTGTTGAAGATCAGGTAGATACATATATGAAACAAAATGGTAGATGATAATCACATGGGATTCAACCTACCTACCTTTCCTCACTCTCTTTTTCTTGCTGACCAATAAATTGTCATTTATAAATACTAAAACTCTTATTACATACCCCCAAAACATGGACACAGAAAGAATGTTCACCCTTTCTCAAGTTGCACAACACAAGTCAAAGCAAGATTGCTGGATCATCATCCATGGCAGAGTACTATCTCCACCCTCCCCCGGGACCGTTACTAGCATGTTTGACTAAACTCACTGGTTTCTTGGACGTGTATAAAGAGCAGAATCATCGACTCTAAAAATATATGTTATGTTTTTTTTCAGGTAATAGACGTTACGAAGTTTCTGGAAGAACATCCTGGAGGAGAAGAAGTGTTGATTGAATCAGCTGGAAAGGATGCAACTAAAGAATTTGAAGATATTGGACATAGTAAAGCTGCCAAGAACTATATCTTGAAATACCAGATTGGATATCTTCAAGGCTATAAAATCCAAGATGATGATGATGATAATTTGTTTACTGATTCCTACAAAGAACCAATGAAGGCAAAAGAAATTGAAGCTTTTGTGATCAAACAAAACTCCAAGCCCAAGCATTTGGTTTTTGTTGAGTATTTTGTGCCTTTCTTGGCTGCTGCATTCTTCCTGTATTATCGATATCTCAATGGAGCTCTCCAGCTTTGAACTCCCACAACAAAGGGATTATCATATGATTTTCATTGATATTTAGTGTTTTATTTCAACCTTCAAAAAGGGGAAAACCCCATACATTGATGCAATTTATATGATGTAGTTTGGCATGGTTTATACAATACCGATACATTGCATATACATTTACAGCTACTTAAGAAACCCAAAATAGAATACTAAGAGAACTTTAAACCCAAAAGTGAATAAGTACAGTAATACAATAATATACATGATTTAGCAAGTCAAATAGACCTAATCATCTCTTTCATTTCTGTATACAACAACATATCCAGTGTAATCCCACATAATGGGGTTTGGCGAAGGTAGAGTGAACGCACACCTTACCCTTACCTTAGAGGTAGAGAGGTTGTTTCCGATGGACGGAATATCATAATACAACATAATTTGGTCTCCACTAATGGTGATAAGGTATTTACTACAAAGTATGTTGAGATAATAGCACCAGCTTTGCATCACCAGAACAAAATTACATGTAATTACACCTTTCCTCTATAAGGTAATACCAAAACTGAGGCCCCTTCTCCTCTGACCGTCTCAACATCGCAAGTTCGTCAATTATAGGGATAAAGGTTCATCTTTCAGATTGTACGGACTGCCACTAGAACTGCAGCAGGGAAAAATAATAATTCAGGCACCAACTAACAAATGAAACTAGTTTTATGTCTAACGATGCATCACCAATACAAATATACACTATACAAGGCCAAATATTGTAAAATATATACGTATGCAGCTCAACGTAATACTAAAATGGATGCACACTGGCACAACAGGTTTTCAGATCTAACTACTAACATAGTTACTGCATTCTTGTTAACAAGGGGGTCCATCGATGGATCTATAGCTGATCTTACAAGCAAATTAGGGTTCCATAAAATGTCATTTATGCTGTTAACTTTTTATGATTTCATCCGAAGACTGCACCAAAAGACGTTAAGATATGTTGGGTTATACTGATTTACTGTCAAAGAAGAAATGGCAATACCCCAAACATCCTACAATTTGAAATATGTAAGTTGCTTCAACAACACCATAAGGAGACACTTCCATTTCTTTTCTTTTTTAATAACAGTGGTGTACGACCTCGACTATTCCACCAGTTCCTGCTACCTCCCACCAGCACAAGTACCGGGTAAAGAGCTAGGTTTATTTCGTTTAACCATCACATGTGCTCCACTGTACTTAGCATCAATATTTTAATGATGCTCTGTGATCCTATTGGGGGAAGGAGAACGCCCGAAGCAGAATCAAACTAATAGCATGTTTGGCCAAGCTTTTGGAAAGTCAAGTGTTTTTTTAAAAATGCGTATTATAGAGAGTCGAGGTGTTTGGCCAAACTTTTAAGAATAAAATAAGTGCTTCTGAGTAGTAGCAAAAGTTGTTTTTAAGAAGCAAAAAAAGCAGTTTTTCTCCCCAAGCACCTTTGGAACCTTAACCAAGCACAAATTACTTATCTAATATTGGCAAAAGTGCTTTTAAATGATAAGCCAAATGCAAACTACTACTCTCCAAAAGTACTGTTTCTAAAAGCAATTCTAACAAAAAACACTTTTCAAAATGAGCAGATTTTTGGAAGATTGGCAATACAAGCTATATAAGTATTGGTAGATTTAATGGCATCTACTAACAGACAACCATAGACTACTGATATTTGGGATGTCATCAAAGATATGGCAGTCAAATCGTGAAGTCAATGATTGTATAGGTGTCTATGACTGGGAAATGAAACTTCTTCCATTTGCCAGGGAATAAAATCCTATTCTTCCTCAGATGGTACCATTGTCTCTGCCAAAGGAGTCTTCTGCGCTAGTAGCCCTTCCAACAACAGACTCAAGAAAAAAGGAAGCATTCAGCAGACACAAGGACTTGGGACTTGATACGGGTTCTTTCATTTGAAACAGTCCTTTTCCTTTTCAAAGTTGAATTCATCTGTGAATGAATATAAATCTTGCTGAATATCATCCACCCCTTATCTCCTCATCTTCCTATTTATAAGTCAATACTTCAACATTTTCGATTTCCCATAAAATCTCTGAAGCATTCCTAGCCACAAAAATTTTCCATCCATTACTTCAACTATTAGTCTAGTACCGATCGATAGGAGAGAGAAACATATGGATTAGTTCAATTAGTTAGTTATTGGCATATTCCGGATTCCAAGAGAGACCAGGTCTGGTTTGCAAAAGTTTGAGCTTACCTCATCTCAGCTCAATCTTTCCATGAACCTGAATCATTTGTTGAAGTCTCCAATCATTCTTGCTGGAGAGATGGCTATACAGGAAGAAATCAATTCCCAAGAAAAAAAATGAAAGAAATAACGAATGTGTATCTACAGAGCAGGTACTCTTTGCTTTGTTTTCTTTCTTTTGATTGGAAGGAGTGGACATAAGAAGAAAAAGGTTATTTGTTCGGTATACCTCTCAATTGCAGAATATGTATTCGAGATTTGTAGCAGAAAAAAAAAAAAAAAAAAAAAAAAGCTTAGTTTAACAGAAGTTGCAATCCAATAAAATTACAGGGAACTAAAAGGTAATTACCTAGCCCTCTTTCTTGGTGCAAGTGCCAAATTTCTACAAAAGATTATCTATGTCCAATTTTTTATCTATCTTCCTTTATTTATTTTTTTATAAAAGTAACAGTTAGTCTATATTTATCCACAGGTATACTACCTCAAAAGTGTAGTTCCCCTCCAAAAGTGTTGTAGTTACATAGGATCCTATACCTACCAAGTTACAGCCAGTCTATAGTTGTGCTGATTACTTCTGAGCTATCTAAGACTACTTGTTTACACCAAAAATAATACAAAGCTAAACAGTTAAGCTTAAGTCTATGTATGTTGCTCTGCTTTCCTTCATGACATCTCTGGTTCCTCTCTAGCCATACTGTCCACCATATACATGATGGGACCATCTTCCATCTCTCCTCCTTTCTTCCTGCATTTCCATCTCTATTCCAGCACTTCAAAACCTCTTTGATCCTTCCTGGTTTCACCCATTTAATCTCTCTCATATTGGTGAACATTTGGCACAGCTGGGTTGTCCACTTGCAGTGTAAGAAGAGATGGTTGACTGTCTCTCCTTGCTCTTCACACAAAAAGCACCTGGAACACAGGTGAACTCCTCTTTTGTTCAGGTTCTCATGTGTCAAAACTGTCTCCTTAGCTAACAGCCAAGTAAAACAATTTACTTTATAGGGTATCTTGGTTTTCCATATCATCTTCCAAGGCCATTCTACTTCCTCAAAGCCAACTGTGTGGAGATCTTCATATGCTGAATTTACTGTGAAACACCCTTTGCTCCCCACATTCCACACCAGTGAGTCCTCTTCCTCAGACAGGTTACTAAATTGTGCTAGGGTAACCAAAAACTCAGTCATTCTGCACATCTCCCAATCATTTAAATTCCACCCCTGATCATTCCATAATTTAGCTACAGTTGCTTGTTGCATTTGACATAGGTCGTAGAGGTCAGGAAACCTTTGGCTTAATGGGACCTGACCACACCATTTGTCCATCCAGAACGCCACTTGTCTATCTTCCTTTATGTAATGACCCTCCTGGTCATTTTTGTGTTTTGCCTTCTGTGCATTGTTTAGAGCATTTCTGCAGTGACCCCCAAGTCATTTATAACTTGCTGGGACTAATAGTTCATTTGGTAGTTATGTGATTTTCTAGTGTTTGGAGCTTATAACCTTGAACGATCATTTTCGATCAAAAGTTCAAGAATATGACATCTAAATCCAATTTTGACAATTCCATCAGCTCTAGAAGAGTCATTGTAGGCTAGTAGAATGGTCGGCATGACTCCCGAGATTTTCGGTGTGAGTTGATGTGATTAGGCATTTTAACTTTAAAGTTTAAGTTTGACTTAAGTCAACATTCTGAGTAAACGCGCTCAAATGCGAATTCTGTCAACGCGGTTAGCTCCGAATGTCGTGTTTGGTCTAGATGGACCCTTCGTTCGTGTCCCGAGATAATACTGAGCCTCTTGTGGATTTTGACTTAAAATGACAGTTGGCTGTGGGACCCACTAGATGACCTCGTATGGAAATTTAGACTGCGCCATTGAGTCCGGTATATCAAATTCGGTATGGTTGCATATCCCGTTTGTGTGCACGGGGTTCCGAACGAGTTCATAACACCCCATCGGAGTTTTTAAGTTTCCAAATAAAATGCTGAAATTTGGTGCATTTATAGCAGAACTATCAGCTCATTTTGGAAACTTTAAAACCCCACATCTCTCTCATTTCTTGGCCAAATGAGGTGATTCAAAGTGTAGAAGCTTCGTTTTGATGCTACGAGAGTGATCAAAAGTTGTCGGGTGTGCATTGTTCAAGAAGTGTTGGGCATCCTTTGATTTTGGTAAATTTCGAGTTTTACCTGCTGCATTTTTTTTTTCAAAATTGATTATAGTGTGATATTTGCATGTTGGGTTTTCGTTGCGTTTCAATCCCCGAATTGTGTTCCATTCCATTTTGGAACACAAGTTCGGGGTACAGAGCAGTGCACTCCCAGCCCAGCTAGAAAGAGTGACCCCGGGGGGCACCTAACCAAACAGTCCACTCTCAGCCCAGCTAGAAAGAAGGACATGTGGGTGAGGTAGATATCGCGAGTCGTCCTACCATGCAGTCAGCTCCAAGTTCGGCTAGAAAGAAGGCTTGGGGGCGATCGCCGAAATCACTGAGTCCACCCAGCCAGCGGTACGCTCCCAGCTCAACTAGAAAGAACAACCTCAGGGGTGATGGTATCTCCAATAGGATCCAATCTAGCAATTGCCACCGTGGAACGTCATCCACTCCCAGATATCACAGAAAAAGGCTTCAAGCGTATACTATCTCAATCCTACGCCTCTAGTGATGCACCGAACCTCCGAGAACGCATCGGAATCACAGAATTCAAGGGAGAAGATACAGAAGTGCAATAAGCAGCGATAGCGCCTACTCTAAGGCTCAGACTTCGCCAAAAGACCCAAAACAGTACCCCAAACTTTTGTTCCAAAATGGAACACAATTCAGGGCTCGAAACGCAGCGAAAACCCAACATGCAAATAAATCACAATATAATTGATTTTGAAAAAAAACATGTAGGAGGTAAAACTCGGAACTGACCAAAATCAAAGGATGCCAAGCACTCCTTTATTCACTCCACGACGTAGCTTCAATAATTCCCAAAACGTGGGACTTCGAATCACCTAAAACCGAGTTAAAATGAGCAAGATATTGTAATGACCCTCCAGGTCATTTTTAAATTAAAGCATTCTTTCCCTCGTATAGAGCATTCCTGTAGCGACCCCAAGTCATTTATGACTTGCTGGCACTGACTGTTCGGTCGCCTGGTCGTTCGTTTGGGTTTTAGGCCCGTTTCCCTGTTTTGGAGATTTTTATAACTTGAAAAGTTGACTTTGGTCAACCTTCTTGGAAGTCGTACTCAGATGAAAATTCTGACAGCTAGGTTAGCTTCGAAATATCGATTTTGGTCTAGAACGACCCTTTGTTCACTTCCCGAGGCTTTAGATAGCAGTTGTGGAATCTGGCTCAAAATGATACTGGGTGTGGGACCCACTTTTCATCGAAGCAATCTCCAAATGGAAATTTCGCCTTCACCGTTGAGTCCGAAATATCGTTTCCAATCAGATTTCATATATGGTTTGTATTTTTCCGACTCCGAAACATCGAAATTTAAGTTTGAAGGGTTATAGAATTTTGACGCGGCGGTGACGTGGCAGAGCCACGCGATGCCACGTGGCGGCGGATGGAAATCTAGAAATTTCCAGATTTTAGGACGATTTTCGTCCATTTTTTTCCATCAACTTCAACATAAGATATCTCCTTCATTTTGAGTCCAAATTAGGTGCTTCAAAAGGCTAACTTCAAGAGAATTTCGTGGGGAATCTAGCGGTGATCTCAAAAACGCGAGGGGAGGCTTCGTTTGAGGTAAGGAATCGAATTTAGCCACTGCTAGGGTGATTTCCGGATTGAATTGTTGTTGAATTTTGAAGCACCTAATTTGGACTCAAAATGAAGGAGAAATCTTATGTTGAAGTTGAGGGAAAAAAAATGGACGAAAATCGTCCTAAAATCTGGAAATTTCCAGATTTCCATCCGCCGCCACGTGGCGTCGCGTGGCTCTGCCACGTCACCGCCGCGTCATAATTCTACAACCCTTCAAACTTAAATTTCGATGTTTCGGACTCGTTCGGAGTCGGAAAAATACAAACCATATATGAAATCTGATTGGAAACGATATTTCAGACTCAACGGTGAAGGCGAAATTTTCATTTGGAGATTGCTTCGATGAAAAGTGGGTCCCACACCCAGTATCATTTTGAGCCAGATTCCACAACTGCCATCTAAAGCCTCGGGAAGTGAACAAAGGGTCGTTCTAGACCAAAATCGATATTTCGAAGCTAACCTAGCTGTCAGAATTTTCATCTGAGCACGACTTCCAAGAAGGTTGACCAAAGTCAACTTTTCAAGTTATAAAAATCTCCAAAACAGGGAAACGGGCCTAAAACCCAAACGAACGACCAGGCGACCGAACAGTCAGTGCCAGCAAGTCATAAATGACTTGGGGTCGCTACAGGAATGCTCTATACGAGGGAAAGAATGCTTTAATTTAAAAATGACCTGGAGGGTCATTACAGATATAACCAAATCAATATAGCCAAAAACAAGAACTCGAAAAGAGCTACAGCAGTCTGATTTATTGTGATTTTACCTCGAACGACGCACACCCGACAACTTTCGATAACTCTATAGCGAAGCCACCATCAAAAAGAAAATCACCTCATTTGACCAAGAAATGAGAGAGATATGGGGTTTTGAAGTTTCCAAAATGAGCTGATATTTCTGCTATATATGCACTAGATTTAATTTTTTTTTTTTTTTTGGAAACTTAAAAACTCCGACGAGGTGTTCCGAACTTTTTCGAATCCCCGTGCACGCAAACGAGATATGCAACCATACCGGACTCAATGGCACAATCTAAATATCCATACGAGGTCATCTTGACAAAAAGTGGGTCCACACCCAACCGTCATTTTAAGTCAAAATCCACAAGGGGCTCCATTAGCTCGGAAGCCTCGAAACGCGAACGAAGTGCCAATCTAGACCAAACTCGATATTCCAGAGCTAACCGCACTGACAGAATTCACATCCGAGCACGTTTACTCAGAATGTTGGCTAAAGTCAAACTTAGGCTTAAATTTTAAAGTTAAAACGCCTAATCACACTGACTCACACTGAAAACCTCGAGAGTCATGCCGACTATGCAACTAGCCTTAAATGACCTTTCCGAAGCTGATGGAATCGTTAGAATTGGATTCAGATGTCGTATTCTTGAACTTTTGATTGAAAATGATTGTTCAAGGTGTTCACAAGCTCCAAAAACTAAAAAATCACATAACTACCAAACGAACGGCCAGGTGACCAAACTGTCAATCCCAGCAAGTCATAAATGACTTGGGGTTGCAACAGGAACGCTTTAAACGACGCACGGAAGGCAAAACATAGAAATGACCCAGAAGGTTATTACACTTTAAACCTACAACTTTCTCTCAAGAACCTCCGAATGTTACTCTAGTTGCCTCATTCTCTAAGCATTGTACGGAAACCAGATGTATATCAAGTTCATTCTGATGATCATTAGTCATACTGCGATGAAAGAAAAAAAAAAGGAGTGGAACTTATGAAACTTCTCACCAAGGGGAAAAACTCTACTTACCAACTCTAAAATAGACTATACGTACACTTCTTGATTCTGCAAATCTTGTTGAAAAGAGAATGTCATTATACTCGTTTGAAGGAAATTTTACTTTATTTAGAAAAAAGAAGAAATTATACTCTTTGAGAAGTTTTTCCCTTTTAGGTGAGAGACAAGTCAAGAGGGCTTCACTTAAGGATAGAGTTGCTCCTTTGGTAAACTAAAGGTCATGGGTTCGATTCTTTGGAGAAATACAAGGGGAAGCTGCATATAGCATACACCCAATCCTCCCCCACACAGTACAAGCTGGTAGCACTTCAGACACAGAGAGATCCCAATTGAAACCTTTTTATAGTAAATAGTTCTACATGAAAAAAAAAGGGCAGCTCGGGGTCTGAGATAGTTCTACTTGTCATGTATAAATAACTTCTCTCGAGTCTCTACTAGAAAATAGAAGGATAGGTAAATCAAAAGAATCATCAGTGCAAGCAAGCTGAAATAAAAAAAAATGGTTAGACTAGCATCAATGGCACAGAAAACTCAATATCAATTGATGATTTTCCCAATCCAGAAGAAATGAAGAAAAACCTCAGCAGCAGAGAATCCACTATAAAGGATTTCTTTTTCTTAGTACTTTCAAAATCTGTTTATGGGTAAAAGAGTCAACAAAAGGTTAGATAGATAAAACAAGAGTCGTTAGCAAACTCACCAATCAGGAAAATGAGAAGAAACACTGAGAAAACTATTCGAACAGGTCGACGATAATGCATGTAATACTGAGATCTTTGCAGCTGGCGCTGAACTGCACCATACCAACCATACAGTTGCTTATCATAACAATCATCACAACCATCAAGGCAACTCTTATTCCTCTCATAGCATGTGTTTATGTTCTGCAATAGAAGTACTAGATCGCATCACATAAACATCATTTACTGATATGAAAAATATACAACTATTTCTGGAGCTTTCATAAATACTACACTTGTGCCAACTGATTTTATTTAGTTTTTACAAGTCCAACTGATTTTTTATTTTACTTTTATAACTCGTAACCTTACTCTATATATCCACATGTATACTACTACCAAAAGTGTAGTTCCCCTTCAAATGTATTACAATCTATCAAAAGCGCAAAACTATATTTTACATAGTTTGGTTCTTTAAATTAAAACTTTATAATTTTAATTCCTGATCTTTTATGGAATATATTTTGAGTATATATTCTCATAATAATGGACAGGGTTAATTTGTTGTTTTACTCGTTTGGGTTCTCTTTTTCAAATTTTGAAATAATTGATATCAATGACTCAAAAATGAGAATTTTGACATTGTAATCAAATAAATGGTCCAAAGAGAGTACTGTAGAACAAATTTGGATACTATAAGAACAGTGCATCACCCTTGTTGGTGGCTGAGTGCGCGGCAATGTATTGCCAGCTTCTTGATTGAACTTCAACTTCCTGTAACCATTCTTGGGCCATTTTAACTCCTTAACAGATTCCACGGCATTCAACAATCCCTGGTAACTGGGTATTCTGCGAGGAGGGGGTGCAGGTTCTTTGATGGAAATATCATTGCCAAGTGCAATCTGCCATGCACCAATGTCAGCACTAGCACTTGCTGTTCTCCGGTGGCCCAAAAACTTCTCGTCTATGGCCTCACCTCGAACACCATCCTCTGAATGAAGAGGATTCTCAGAACACTCGGGAAGTGATTGATTTACAGCCTCTTCCCACTTGGGAATTTGCAGCTCCACTCCATGTACTTTTGCATGGGTTATCCCTGCAGAAGAGGTGGATGGGCCAGAGAGAAATGCAGCAAGTTCATCGACTTCTCCCTCATCCAAACGCACCCATGGAAGTGGTGGTTTGCCTTGTGAAACAGCTGATTCATTAAGAGAATTCTCAACTTTCTTAATCTGACTGTCGATTGCAATAAAAAATTCATGGTGTCTATCTCTTGCATCATCAGCAGATTTACTATTGTAGCTCGATCTAACTGCCCGGTCAAATTCCTCCAGCTGCATTACAACGCCATCCAACATATTAACTCAGCTCTAACCCTTTTATGCACATACACCAATAACATCCCATACACAAGATAGATGCACAATATAATCATTTCTTGGCTTTATTTCTTTTAGGGGGTTATGGATTAAATTTCCTACCTGCCATTTAGCAGTGCCAAGGGTAGTTCTAAGGTCCCTGCGAAGCGCATCACAATTCCAACTACCAGAAGTATCCTTCAACGCATGAATCCACGTCCTATAAGTTGATTCCATTCTTGAAAATGAAAACAAAAGTATGTCAATAAAGAAAGCAAAACCCCCCACATACCAAAACAAATAAAGCCTCAATCTTTCTTCTTCTTTTTTATAAATAGATATCAGATAACACTGTCCACCAAGGTTAGAACAGACAGGAAGAAATCACCTAGTGTTTTTTCCTCTCTGCTGGGATTTGAACCAGAGACATCATGGTTCTCAACCCACCTCATCGACTACATCACTAATCGTCAAAAAATGACAGATAAAACTAAAAAAATCCAACTTAAATGACAATTCTAGCAAAATCAATCCAAACCCACCAAACAAATAAGAAAAAAATTGTAATTAAAAAGCAAACAACAGGTTACCTGTCGGCAGATTCTTGAACCTCTTCTGCAGCTGAAAAGAACGGATCTTTCTCCCACCTATCAAAATGCGACGCCATATCTTCCAAGTTTTACTTTCTCCTTCTATTTATCACCAAAAAATGAGCAAAAATAACTCTTCCCAGGTCAAAAAACCATCGAAAAATGAACGAATCCAAGTGTATTTTCGATTTGAGATCAAACCCAGATTCAATAAATCCTCTCTCGTTTAATTTTTTGCAGGTACTTCACCAACAAAACGGACAAAGAAAAACTGTTGGTGAGAAGATATAGGTAAAAAGTAATTGTCAAAACAGAGGATTATTTAAACCTGTTTTGTGGCGCACGCCCGTAAAGAATGCTTGGGAGAGTTTCCAGGAGAGAGAGAAGAGACACGGCGCCGTATGGAGAAAACAATTGTGCGAATCAATGACAATGAGGTCCGAGTTGGTTTGACTTGCTCTGTCGATAGCCGACGGATCTATTTATTTATATGTCGTTTTTATTAAAAATAAATTAATTTATGATAATTTATTGAATAGTTTATTCAAAAGTATACTAATTAAAAATACAATAATAAATTTAATAATTTCCTTAAGAGACGTAAGATCTAAAATAAAAAGGGAATGGGTATTTTAAGAATGTTGTACTGGCACTTTGTGGCTGTGGTTGGCTGGTTGCTACTAGGTGAAAATCAGCTGACTATGAAATCCATTAGGACAACAAAGATACAACTGGAAAATCTCCAAAATTATTTAGGAGTTCCATATCTTAATTATTATATTAAATATTCACAAAGTTTCTGAACAATCATGAATTTATATGCTTTTTATTTTGAGCTTAGTTAGCATTTGTGGTCTTTATAATTTGGGATATGCATAATTAGATACTTAAGTTTATATAAAATTAAATAATTGGACATACGTATTCTGTGTGACAATCTATGTTCTATGTGGCACGACTTGCATGTATTATAATATCATGTAGTACGCATGTGTCTACATGTTCAATTTTATAAAATTTAAAGTGTCTAATTATGCACACTCAAAATTGGAGAACATAAATATCAATTGAACCCAACTAAAAAGGCATGTTTAAGTCTTGTGCCTAAATATACTATTAAAATACACCTTTGAAAAATAAGATATGAACATCACGTTCTCCTTCGAAGTGATCCAAGTGGGCAATACATAGAGAATTTTCTTTTAGTGAAAAAAGTTAAAATTCTCCTAAATTATGATTATTTTGTAAATTTTATATCTAAATTATTGAATACTCGAATAATCTTCATGAACTATCATAAACTCATTATGTCACATGTCCTATTTTTGCACATATTCAATCGAGACAAGAGAGTTACTAATAGAGTTATAGTGCCAACTAAATTAGTTAGTCCTCTTTGGTTAAACAACTTTGGCATTTCTTGCTGTCCCAATCCAAAATAAAAAAATACAGTAGTTTTGATTTTTCTTATTTGAGATATACAATCTTAAATATAATAAAATTCTTAAAATATATTTTTATTAAATAATAAATTAAATATATTAATCAAATATTATAAGGATCAAAGGAAAGATGCGTGCAACCTTGTCAAATTGAGGTCATTCTGTCATCCTAAAACCATACCTTCTTTTTTCTTTTAGTGTATCACACAAAAGCCTTTTGAGTTCTGATGACACTTCTTTCACATTGTGAAATAAAGGAGTCAATAACAGCATGGATGGCTACCATTTATTCTTAATTAGAAATCTTGAATTCAAGTTTCTAATAATAGAATGAATTCTATTTGGAGCGCACTCCCTAAATTTATACTCTCTCTATTTTTCAATTTATATGTCGTTCTTACTAAAAATAGATGTTCTTTAATACTCTCCCGTCCAACAATAGTTGTCTACTATACTAAAAATAGTTGTCCAACAATACTGGTTCAATTGAGAAATCAAGAGATAATTTACCTTTTGTGTCTATTTTACCATTGCTATTACATACTCCCTCCGTCCCATTTTATATGTCATCCATTTCTATAAATAGCTGGACCACAATACTTGTTATTTTATAATATTTATGCATAAATTACCATATTTTGCCTATTATACCCTTGATAGAATAGTTAATTAATCTTGTCATTTATTAATAAAGTTGACTTAAGAAAATATTAAATAAGGGTAGAAGGGTAAAGTTACATCATTTCTTAATACAAGTGCAAAGTAAAAAGGTGACATATAAAATGGGACGGAGGGAGCATTATTTATCATCTAACACATTTATCAAAGTCTTAAATTTAATAAAGTGAAAGAATAAAACAATAACATTACCCATATTATTTATTGTTTCTTAAGGGGTGTGACAAGTCAATAATGTATAACTATTGTTGAAAAGTACTTGTCATTTCAAAAAAATCAATTAACCAAGGAAATTAAAGGGGAAAAAACAAATATACCTTTGAACTATCGTAAATGGTATGCACCATACCATCTATCATACTTTTGAACAGTGGTGCCCCTGACATCCAAAAACTAGAGCATATATGCTCTACACGTGTCATAATCTTATCCACCGACCCGACATTTATTAAATATCGGATCGACGGATAAGATTGTGCCACGTGTCCCTATTTAGTCTTATGTTAAAGTGAAGAGCGTATATGCTCTAGTTTTTGGACGGCATGAGCATCAATGTCCCAAAAGTATGATGGAGGGTATCTGCATATCATTTACGATAGTTCGGGGGTATATTTGTCCTTTGTCCCAATAATTTAATTTATGTTCATTTATTGAAAACTTGACTTCAAGAGATCACTTATAAGGGTGCAATGATAAACTTATCTAGTTTATTAAGGAACGTAAAATCTAAAATAATGACATATAAATAGAAACGAAGAAAGTAAATATAATGCATAATTTCAAATTAATTGAATTCCAATACAAATACCGACTATCTGAAACAAAAATAAGAGAGTGGAGTGAGGACATCTAAAGCAAACAAGATTAGGTATTAGCAATAACTTTGGTTAAAAGATTTATGGGGTCCTCCATTTTTATGTGAATGCGTCAATTCGGCACTTAGAATTTTATTTTTCTAAAATCTTATCTGCAACATTGTCTAACGTGGCTTTATTCAACCAACCACCTCTTGTCAACTTTGGTTGACTTGACAGTACAGTGTGCATACATTAACACTACTCCCTTACAATTTATTTGCTCCAACTTTTTTTAAAATCTATTTCTAAATATTTTTATATTTTTCTAATGTTAACTTTCCACCTAATATATTTTAAGATCATTAGATATTTTGACATATTTTACATATCTAATAATTTAATATCACAGATTTAAATTATTATTTTTTACTTTCTTAAACTTTGTGTTAAATCAAAACAAGACATTTTGGTACATAGAGAAAAAAAATGGTATATTTCACATATCTTTAATTTAAAACTATGAGATTCAAAAGTTTCCTTTTTTTTTTTACACTTGGTTTTAAGTCAAAACAAAACAAACTACCACCAAATGATGTAGTGCATTGGATACAACTGCTCCTCCTTTAATGAAAGGTTTCGAGTTCAAGCCCTGACATGGAAGAATCCTTTGTAGTGAGCATTTCCCCCCGAATGGGGTGCTACTCGATGCAAATCCAAAATAGTCGGGCTCTAATGTGGGTATCGGACACCGAGTGAGAAACAAACAAAAATAAGACAAGCAAATTGAAACGGAGAAAATAGTAAATACAAAATTACCTTTCGATACTTCAATTGCATTATATTTTTGCTTTATTACTTTCATCAATTGTGTTAGAATGCGGTTATTAGTTGTTTCAACCATTTATTTACCCTATTAACTATCTCATTATCTTCATATTTATTGCAAGAAAGAATTCTTCACTTATAAATAGTGATGCTGAGAATTACAAGAAATATAGAGTGAAAAAAATGAGAATTGTACTATACGTGTTTATACTGAGATTACTGTAATGAAAGAGAGAGTTGAGACAGAGAAAATTATTCTAAGTCTTCAACTAATTCACTATAATAAAAAAAAAAGTAGTTATATGTTGAAGGAAAACATTATTTTTGTAGAGATTTGGACTCTTCAACTAATCCGGAGCTACTTGAATTGTACGACGTTGTTGGGTTGTTATATTATGGAGGGAACAAGTCAAGAGTGATACTGTTGGATTAATGTAGATTACATTGGAGTGAACTTGAATCTCCTTAAAAAGAGCGAGATATCCGCCCCTTGGTATGAATATATTTTTCTATTCATTTTTGTTATTTTATTTGAAACTGTAATTTATTGAATTTGTGGTATATTATACCAATAATTTTAAACAAAGTTCATATTTTTGTTACAATTTGAAAAAGTGCAGATATCAAGATAAAAGATATCAACATCATTCTGCTCAACGTCACTCACTTCAAGATCCTATTCCGAGCTAGATAGAAAGACTATTTCCAATAGAAAAATAGTCCAAATTAGTATAGAGAAAGAAATAACGGAGATGAATAATTCATGGCAAAATACTATGGAAATTAGATAATTACCTTCAACATTACACTGCATACACTCTAGTACAATAAACCAGTTAAGCACCCTAAGATTTAAAACAACAATACTAGTCCCAGTAATAACATTTTGTGGAACTTCACAACCACTCGGTGTCAAAGGTTATTCATATCGCCTTCCATAAATAGGTGGATGTGTATCTATTGATGATAACCTATGAGAGATGAAGTACATTGTTGGCCTTGATTTTGGAGTTTCAAGCAAACAAGAGCTTGCTAGCTTGATGATAAAAAACAAAACCTCTTTTACTCTCTCTTCAGGATATGGAAGGCGTTCATCTAGCAAATCGCTAAGCTGCAGTACGTTATCGCTAGTCGATGAATTTGCTAGCACAGTAATGTATTCCCCAAGATGCTTGCCTTTGATTATCTCCAATGCTAATACTCCAAAACTATAGACATCACACATTTGTGTAACCTTCATTGTATATGCAAGCTCTGAAGCAACACAATTTAAGAAAAAGTATTACTCCCTAAGTTCAATTTGTATGTCTTAGTTTGACTTGCCACAAAATTTAAGAAGTAAAAGAAGACTTTTAAATCTTGTGATTTTAAACTAAAGATATGTATTGTAAATTTGTAACCAAATGTTCTTTAATCTCACGGGCTTAAACATGCTATATGATATGTTGAAACTCAAGAGATGCATTAGGAAAGAGACAACTTTTTTTACACATACTAAAAATGAAAGTAAGACAAACAAATTGAACTAAAGAAGGTAACAATTCAAATGTGTAAATGAAATAAAAACAGAATGGAGTCTTTGGCTATAGTTCATAAAGTTTGAAAAAAAAGAGGAAATGTAAAGTTAGACCTAACCTGGTGCAACATAGCCATATGTTCCTGCCAACGCAGTGCAATTGGATGAGTCTGGTTTGAGAATCTTAGCAATGCCAAAATCAGAGACACGAGCTTCATACTTGGAATCAAGCAAAACATTACTGCTTGATATGTCTCTATGGACAATCGGCGGGGAGCAATCATGGTGCATGTAAGATAAAGCAAAAGCAACTCCTTTGATAATATTCACCCTCTGCAGCCAATCCAACTTTCTGGACTCAACTTCGTTGCTCAATATACTAGACAAACTCCCCCTCTCTGCATACTCGTAAACCAAGAATGAGTGTTGTGCATTCGAACAATAGCCGTAGAGGTTCACAATGTTCCGGTGCTTAATCCCTATCAATGCCCTTACTTCATTCATGAAGCTATTGTGATATGAATTCTCAAATGAAGAATGAAGTCTCTTTATAGCTATATTCCCTAATGATGGAAGATTTACCTTGTAAACGCTTCCATGCCCTCCTTTCCCGATGCAAAATGTTGCATCAAACTCCTCTGTGGCGTTTATGATATCCCTATACAATGCCTTTCCTTCTAACATTGATATCGAAAGCAAACCGTCATCTCCTCTATCAACGTCTCTAAGTACTCTCTTTCTTTTAACATGCACAAGGAGAATGCTAACGAAAGCACATAGTACCAGTGCTCCCAATACAGGAAGTACAGTGATGAGAATGAGTTTACGTCCCTTTGCCATTGATTTCTTCTTCATCATAGAAGCGGGCATTTTGCATTGCACAAATCCTGTTAAATTGCCGCAAAGACCTTTATTACCTTCCAATGAGGCATTTGTAAAAGCTTTATTATTTGGTATTGGACCTTCCAACTCATTGTATGACAATACAACATCCTGCAGACCAGTCAAACTTTCAAATTCTTCAGGAATGCGGCCAGAGAGGCTATTGTGGGAAAGATTCAAGTTTGCCAAGTCCAGCAAACTGGCTAACTGAGGGGGTATTTCTCCATCAAGAAGATTATGACTCAAATCAAGTGCAGTAAGATGAACAATCCTCCCTATCTCCTTTGGAATTTTTTGGCTAAACTTGTTGTTGCTTAGGTTCAAGAGAAACATGTTCATGTAATCTCCTATAAATGTTGGGATCGACCCGTTCAATCTATTGTTTGATAGATCAAGGGACAGTAATTTTGTTAGTGACCCAAGTTCCCTAGGTATATTTCCAGAAATGTGGTTGTTTTGCAAAAAAAGTTTAACAAGAGAGGTCAATTTTCCAAACTCCATAGGTATCTGCCCAACCAAATGATTGGATGAAAGATCAAGTCCTTGAAGCCCTTTGATGTTTCCAATCTCTGGTGGTATGCTACCACTAATGTTATTTCTAGCCACCTGCAGATTAGTTAAATTCTTACATTTCCCCCAGTTGCTGCTGAGTTCACCATGGAAATCATTGTCGCTCAAATCGATGAACTGAAGCTCCGGGTAGATACCAAAAGCTTCAGATAAATTCCCAGTGAAGCTGTTGTTATCAAAGCGAACCCTTTTAAAACTCGAGCACTTGCTGAAGCTTCTTGGTATTGGCCCTGAAAGTTTGTTACTGTTCACTGTAAAATTCTCAAGTTTACCACCTTGGCAAAGCTTCTCTGGCAAATGACCTGAAAACTCATTTTTACTCATTATCATCACTACCAAGTTATCCAAATATGCAAGCTCTTTAGGGATGGAACCAGAAAGTTTGTTGGCACGTATATTCAGAATATGCAAGTTTCTCAAATTGCCAAATGAAGCAGGAATAGAACCAGTAAGTTGATTATCGTATAAAGCAAGTCTAGTGAGATTTTGCAAATTCCCCAACTCTCCTGGAATGGAACCATTTAAATGATTGTTAATGACGCGGAGGGTCTCAAGCTTTGTTAGTGAGCCGATTTGTGGTGGGATTGTGCCTGAAAACTGATTAGACCCCAAGTCAAGATAGACAAGATTAGTGAGCTTTCCTATTGCAGCGGGGATGATGCCAGAGAGCTGGTTGATGCTAAGATCAACATATTCAAGATAAGAGAGAGATGAAAATGGAAAATCACGGAGTGTACCAACGACTCCAGCATTTCTAATATTCAACATATTTACCCGACCATTAAAACATTTAACTCCATACCAGCCCCTGCATGCATCAGGATTTGCTTCTCCATGGCTGGAAGAATTCTTGACATCACCAGAACTTATTGTCCAAGAAACAAATAAGGAAGTATTCTGGTTTTCGATAGTTGCTTTCCATTTGAGGAGACCTATTGCTTCCTCAGTGAAAGCAAAAGAAACTCTGAATAAAAAAAAGAGCAATATTCTATGAAACATCATCATGGCTACTAAAACATTTCAGTTGCTTGTTTTGGATACTGTTGAACTTATAGCTATGTAGTGAATTATTGGAAGACTTTAATTTGGAGTCAACTTGTCATTTTTCCTATACATAATTATAATCACTAACAAAGTCCCGTCAAATCACAAAAACTGTACCACAGAATGTAGCAGACACCTCAAAATGCTGCACCAACTTTTAGATTTGAAGAATATTATCCATGGAAGTGAATGTCAACGTTTAAATTGTGGCCAAGGTTAAAGCTGTCGAGATATTGGGAGATTTTTTCTAGAATTATTCAAAAGTCACTCCGTTAATGGACACGCCTGTCAGCACGTTTTATCAATTTCACGGGCCATGTTGTTGCAATTTTCGCTCAGATGGTCCAAGAAGAAAAAGCCAGAGACTCATTTACAATGCAGATCTGCCGGAAAATTCTCTGGCTTCTGCGGCCTGTTCTTCAAAAAAGCAAGCGTTTTTACTAGTGCACCTTAATCCTAATGCAGTCCTTGTCTGGTTTCACTATGAAGCAATTGACTCTGTCTGCCCCTAGTTGATCCTGAGCTTGGCCTCAACCTTTAAGTTGAGTGAATTCTGTCGTCCCAATTTAAGTGTCTTAGTTTAATTAGGCAGGGAGTGATGAAAAATAAAGAGATTTTTTTTCCAATCTTGTGATTGTGTAGCTAGTGATGAACTCAAAATTTTCACTAAGGAGTTTCAAAATATGAAAAAGTAAACACATGAGGGTTTAACATCTACATCTAAAAATAATTTTAACTACGTATAAATAGTACTAGTATAATTTTTTGTCGAATGAATCTCCTCGGCCCCGTCCTAAATCTTATCGATGTTACATAATAAATAATATTACCCTTATATAGAAGGGAGAGTTGTGAAGAACGAACATGGCTGCAAAAGTTGTACCGTGCAATTCCAACAAATAGACAAGTAAGGGCATTTTCGTAATTTCAAGGCATAAATTGGTACTTCTTTCATAAGCCGCGTGTTATTGCTTAGTGCAGCTTTTTTCCAATAGTTAACTCATTCCCACTTTCTCCATTTCATTCTAGGTTATTCTTTGTGAAGCTCTTGAAATTGTAGAGAAAATACTATCAAACGTTCTTAATTTCTTTGGTTTTTTCTTTAGTTTGTCTATTTATTTACAGGAAATTAATAAATTTTGCGCTTTGCCATTGTTGAAATTTCCAAACACGCAGAAAGAGCAAATACAGTTCAGGTAACAATCTCTTTTCCAAGTTCAAATTTGAGTCGTATCATATATGTGTGATTATTGCTCTGTTTCAGCTTCTCCTTGGGTTGTATCATGTATGTTTAAATGACAGTTGAGAGGGACTAACATAGCTCATCCTTCTAATTGTGTGCTCCTTGTGTAGGTGCATATTTTCCCAATTATTTTTGTTATTAGTTCACTTTCTTTGATTGTAATCATCATTACAACTTTTAGATGGTTTCTAATTAGATTTTATACATGTATATCAACATTTCTTTTCTAATTTACTCATGCATGTAAGGTCTCTTTTATAAATTTAATTTTTCCTTTGTGCTGTTAAAATCTATGTATTAAATGTGCCTTTTTTCTTTTTATTCTAACAAATATACAAAGATGTACTCTGTAGTTGCAACAACTAATTTAACTGATGCACATAAGGTGTTTGATAGTATGCCAATTCTAACTAAAAAAAATTATTGCTTTTTTCCACAGATTTTCTACAACGTATTCCTTTGTGCGTGAATGATACAAAAGGTACATGATTTGTTTCTGCTAGATGTGTGTTGTTTATATATTTTTTCCCAAGAAATACATTTGAAAGGTATATCCTTTATTTGCATCTATTTCAATTGTAAGTTGTTGCTATTAGTTTAACTTTGTGTTAGCGAAAAAAACTTAGATATAGTGTGCAGTTTTTCAGCATTCAATGAAACTGTAAATATTATTTTTAGTTATAACAAGATAAAAAATTGCTCGAAATAAGAATGTCAACATACAAAGGCATTACATAGATTTCAAAAGACTAAGGACATCGACTGGATGACAGAGTAATGGGATGGCGTACTAGATATGTCACAATTCACCCTAACAACTTCAAACTAAAAGAGCTTAATATAAAAAAATGATGCCTTTTATATCATTCAAAAAACGTAGTACCTACTCAACCTGAAAAAATGAAGTGCCCTTAAAATAATTGATCCTTAATCAGTTTCTGAGAAAGGTCAGGAAAGTATATTATTTTCTTCGTTCTCAAACACATTCCTATATAAACAAACTTATTTCTGTGAACCATCTATAGCTTTAACAAAATTATCTTTGCATGTTTCCTTTATTCACAAGAACAAGATATATGATTCTCTAGACTAGACAGTAATATAATCTCTGTCTTATATGTGTTGTACGTATTTATAGCATTTCGACATCACATCTTCTTTCGTGACACAACAAATATTTTGAAATTTCACTTTTTTCCTATTTGAATGGGACCTTATCCACTTTACTAGAGTTGTACGTTGTCGTTTGAAGTAAAAAAATCAAAATAAATTAATACACCTCCAAGGAATGAAGAATGTTCACCAAATATGAGCAGCCCCCATTGTGAAAGACGAAGAACCAGAGCATTTTCCTCGACAACTTAGTTGAATATTCCTCAGAAATCTTATTACACTTCTTTGTTGCTGTCAAATTTGTTAGTTTAAGGAGATACTACAGCTTCATGCCTGTGTAATTTCTAAAAAGGAGAAAGTCATCTATCGTTTTAAGTACCTTCTTAAGCTTTTTATATTTAGGGGTCTAAGAGGCAATACATTGAGCAGATCAAACTGTTAAGCTTCCCACTAGACGTAAATAATCGAATCAACACCAATCAATATATGAGTTATATGAGTGTTTTCTCTGTAATCCCCAGATCAGAATTGAAAGGACATACCAGCCTTCGAAGGATTATTAGACATTCCTTCATGTCAGGAGGAGGATAAGGAAAATATTATTTAATAGTCAACTTCTTAATGTTAATTTTACATGGTCTTTCTACAAGTATATACTTGACGCTAAATTGACATATCATGGTATCCATATTATGAATTTGCCGCTTGAGGTGCAGTTTTTTTGTGTGTATGTGTGTGATTATGGGGATTGTGATTAAATATTTGTTCTGCTCATATTTCTTTTTATGTATGAGAGGATATAAATGTTATTTTAGACCTACATCCAGTGTTAATGCTAATGAAGAATAGTTGATACATTTTGAACGCAATGAGGTATGAGTTCTTCAGCGACAATTCAAATTTTAGTATTTTTGTTACTGAGGTTATAATTGCAATTTGTTTTATGAAAGTAATTGATTATGGACTAATCCTGAAGCAAATAAGCAACAGAATGTCACTTGGTTGCTGAGAATTAGGTGATAACTGTTTGCCACTCTCTGTTAAATGTATTTTTTAAAGGATTCAGCGAGGATCTAATCTTTATTTTTCTCGACAAGGAACTTAAGTTGGTAATTAGCAATTGTCCAGATATCGATCAGATTTTTCATTATAATCTTATTTGTTAATTCATGTGGTAATCCTATCTTTGATAGTTTTCCGTCAATATAAAGAAAGAGATGTTTCTTGTGTTCAATCTTTTCCTTGCTTTGCAGTTGATGACTTGAGGCAAATACAAAATATTCTGCATATAGTGCAATATCATCTATTGTTAATTTATAAGTGCATTTCTAAACTAATTTGTAGTAGATTGAAGATGGCAATCAGTCACTTAGTGGCAGAAAATCAGTCTGCCTTTGTACAAGGGAGATCAATGATGCATAATGTGTTGATTTGTCATGATCTTCTAAGACACTATAATAGGAAGTCAGTTTCTCCTAGGTGTCTTATGGAGATAGACTTAAAGAAAGCTTATGATATGGTAAGTTGGGAATTTCTGGAGGAAGTACTACATGGTTTTGGATTCCCTGGACAATTCATTCAATGGATCATGCTAGGTGTAACCACTACTATGTTCTCAGTGAAAGTCAATGGGGTGAATCATGGTTTTTTTGCGGGAAGAAGAGGCCTAAGACAAGGGGATCCTGCATCTCCCCTGCTGTTTGTGTTAGTCATGGAGTACTTGTCAAGAATATTGCATGTAATGAGTCAACTGCCTGACTTTAGATACCACCCAATGTGCAAGAAGGTAAAGCTCACTCACCTTATATTTGCTGATGACTTGATGATATTTTGTAAAGGGACTGTGGAATCAGTGAATAGAGTAATGGAGGCACTAGCACATTTCAGTGCTGCTACTGGACTAGAGGCAAACATTGAAAAATCAAGTGTATTCCTAGCTGGAGTGGATGAGGATACAAGAAGTCAAATTTTGTTGAGGACTGGATTCTCAATTGGCCAATTTCCTATTAGATATCTTGGACTTCCCTTGTCACCAAAGAAATGGACGAAAACTGAATGCTATTCATTGGTTGATAAGATCACACAGAGAATTACAGTAACTTACTCTAAGCAGCTTTCCTATGCTGGGAGATTACAAGTGATTAATGCTGTATTATTTTCCATACATAGCTTTTGGGGGGCAGTGTTTATTTTACCTCAGAGTATCCTTAAGGAAGTGGACAAAATATGTAGAGCTTTCTTATGGGGATGTAATGCAGAACAGAAGAAGATAGCATTAGTTTCATGGGAAAAAATATGCCTTCCAAAGAGAAAAGGGGGACTGAATGTTAAGGGCAGTAGCAACTGGAATATAGCATCAGTGGGCCAATTGTTGTGGCAAATTGTAGTGAACAAGGAGTCATTATGGTTGAAATGGATTCATGGAATATATATAAAGACTGAGGCATCTATCTGGACTCATAAAGTACCTACAGATTGCAGTTGGTACTGGAAGAAACTTAATGACATCAAAATACTCATGCAGAGCTGGTATAATCAGGGTAGATATATGTTAACACAGTCTGGTAATTACTCTATTACTAGAAGTTATTTAGCATTAATGGGT